AGAACTAAGAGCTGGGAGGCTAGGGACTGTCTTGGGCGGAGGGAAAAAATGGACACATATGTAATACCCTTTGTAATAAATAATAATAAAAAAAAAAGTTGTATGACATGACAAGTTGATAGGACAAAAGCCTCAATGAACAGTAACAATTTAGATTTGCGAATTCCTAGGAAGGCTAACCAAAACATTTGTGGCGGAGGATTGTTTGCAGGAACTTAAAGATATGCTAGTCCCGGAGTCTAGTCCCATGATGAATAAAACCAAAGCTTGACCCTGTGGACATAAAAGGCCTCAAGATTAGAAGAAAGCCAAAGTCTGGCTTGCATCACTGTTTTACTCCACTGATAAATCAAACAATGAAAATGAAAATGATAAACCATTTTTACCTATTAAGTTGGCAACAACTTATTGTAATGTAATATCGGCAAGTGAGACAGACACTTTTATACATAATCCAACCTGTCATCTCTCCCAAAAAAATAGAGATATTGATAATCATGTACAAATATGTCCATTATGGTATTATTTATAATAGCAAAAACTTGGAAGTTACATATACGTTCAATGAAAGGGATTGATAAATTAACGATAGTACATTTATAAGAGAGAATATTATGTCCTCATTGAAATTCATGTTTACAGAAATTTGGTACAAGAAAATACTTACAAATTAAGGATGCAAATGCAAATAGTGTATAGTTTTCTCACCTGAAGAATTGGGATAAAAATCATCTCTACTTCATAGGGTTGTTTTGAAGTTTAAAAGGAGAAAATAATTGTAAAGCACACAGTTATTAGGTGGCTAGAATTATGAGAATTTCCTCAAATACACATATAAAAAACATAAGACAGAGGGCCCTGGCCAGATAACTCAGTTGGTTAGAGTGTCGTCCCAATACCCCAAGTTTGAAGGTTTAATCTCCAGTCAGAGCACCTACAAGAATCAACTAATGCATAAATAAGTGAAACAACAAATCAATATTTCTCCCTCCCCCTCTCTAAAAACCAATCAATAAAAAAACAACCACAAGATAGTAAAACTATTCAACAAAATTATAACACTCATCAACACTAAATTAAAGTTCATTTTTAAAATTTTTTATTTGGGTGACATCCTATATAACAAAAGCCCAGTGACCGTTATGGTGGGACGACCAGAACAACCAGTCCCTATGGCACACACTGACCACCAGGGTACAGACACTTAATGCAGGAGCTGCCCCCAGGTGGTCAGTGCACTCCCACAGTGGGAGCACCGCTCTGCCAAAAGCCAGGCTGGCAAGTACAGTAGCGGTGGCAGGAGTCTCTCCCACCTCTGGGGCAGCACTAAGGAGCTGCGAGCCAAGTGGTAAGGAGCGAGGAGCAGGAAGGGGGTAAGGAGCAGGCAGGTGGTAAGGAGCGAGCAGGCAGGCAGTTAGGAGTGAGGGGTCCTGGACTGTGAGAGGGATGTCTGACTGCTGGTTTAGGCCTGATCTAAATGGCAGTTGGACATCCCCTGAGGGGTCCTGGATTGCGAGAGGGCACAAGCTGGGTTGAGTGACCCCCCGCCCTGTATGAATTTTGTGAGTCGGGACTCTAGTTGGTTAATAAAATTATAAAGGTTACAATTAAAGGTCATTTCACAAATTGAATCAACTAAGGTATTGGTTCCAAGGAACAGAACCAATTCTGAATTATTTAAGAAAAAAAGACTTGTTTGAAAAGTTTATAATTAGCCCTAGCCAGTTTGACTCAGTGGATAGAGTGTCAGGCTGCGGACTGAAGGGCCCCGGGTTCGATTCCGGTCAAGGGCATGTACCATGGTTGCAGGCTCTTTCCTGGCCCGGGCCATGGTTGGGGCTCATGCAGGAGGCAACCAGTTGATGTGTTTCTCTCACATCAGTGTTTCTCTTTGTCTTTTCCTCTCTCTTCCACTCTCCCTAAAAATCAATGGAAAAATATCCTTGGGG